CCAGAGGCTTTTCTTTCTCTGCCTGAGGAGGAAGGATGAGCGCCCTGTGCTGGTAGGAGTCAGTGCTTCTGCTGTGGTCCTCACAGTGGGCGGACGAAGAGGACGGGCAGGCCTAGGGAGAAAATTAATACAAGAGAGAGTGGCTCTCAGTGTGCGTGTTCCTTTGTTCCCCAGTGGGGACCTCACAGCCAAGGAGCAGTTCGTTTGTGGTGTGCCAAGCCAGGGGAGAGAGAGCACAGCCTCTCGCTGTTAGGAGAGCATTCCTCCTTTGTTTTCCCCATAATTCCATGGAGGTAGCCAGGAAGCAGAGGGGCCCCAGCTGCTCCAGCCAGGCCTGTGAGTTGGCGTGACTGGATCTGCCCCCCACCCATCCCCAGCTTTAGGGCAACACTCCACTGCTGAGTGTTTTCAGAACACGGAGCTCTGTTCTTGTGCCAGTTCAGACGCGGAGCTTAACCTGTCCTGTGGGTTTGTTCTAAGCTCACCTCCGTGTGACTCCATTCCTTGGCCAGCTCCCCTCAAAGTGATGGTTTACACATGCTCAGTGGTGAGAATATGTGTTGGAGACGCTGGGAAGGGACCTTCCCTTGTGGGTGGTTCTCTCCAGATACTAATAGACCCATGTAGATGGGTCCCCAGTGTCCCCTAAGTTATCCTTCGTCTTAGGAAAGGTTATCTAAGATGAACAGCCTGCTGACCTCCTGTCTCTTCCCAAGGAAAGAAATGATGGAGACATGCCAAGGAGGGCCAAATAGGAAAAATACAGATGCTATTGAATGAAAGCCGAGGAATGGAAACAGAAGGAAAAAATTATTTAGAGGCTAAAAAAAGTGTAGAGTCAAGAGAGCATTATTCAAATTAAAAGATATTGTGTTAGGATGAGCTTGTAGGTTCAGAGAGTGTCATCCAGCTGGCCAAGAAATGCATGCCCCTGAAACGTATTACAGAGCATTATGGCACATCGTAAAGGCTGAACTCATCACGATGCTCACCTTCTCAGCCCCAGGTCCGTTGATTAAAAACAATAAAACATCGCCAGAAGTGCAATGCTTCTAAAAGAGTATTTTGCCTTCATAAATATAACACTCTTTCGCTCTTCTGTGTTACTACTTTGCTGGTAGAAACCTGGGCATCTACTTCAATGTCCTTAAGCTTTGTCATTGGTCTACTCGAAAGATTAAAAGGTTTGAAGGGCCACCTGCTGCTGGAAGGCAACCTAAGTGACTATCTTCAAGTGTCTCAGAGTTGCCTCGTGTTTTAAGTAATGACCAGTCTGTGCAACACAGAAGCCATTGGCCAATGTATGGTTTATGTCTCACTCCCTCAGATTCCAGGTATCTTTGTACATTCATCTCATAAAATGATTCATTCCAAGATGTTATAAGCATGTTTAGGTGGATCATTTCATGTTTTCAGACTTTTCCATGGAAACATCCCTATTCCAGAAGAGAGCAAACACCCTGCTGGGAACCATGGAGACATTGCCTGAAGCTGTCTGCTTTATCCACAGAATTTGATTGCTTTATTTTAAGAATTCAAGCAACTTTTGCTGCTAGCTTCAATATAAAAATAATCTTATAATTTTACCAGTTAAATTATATAATTTCCCAAGTAAAAATAGCGTGCCGTTTTCCTGGAGCCTCCCTCATTTTCAAGTTCCTATGTACACCCTGGTTTGAGAAGCGTTACATTCCTTTAAAAGGAGAGAAAAGCATGACTATTCTACCAAGCAGAGTTACATTTGGAAACAGACTTCTACCAGCAAAATCTTGGAGTCAAAATATATAGAAAAATAAATTAAAGGGAACAAAAGCAAAACACTTCCACAAAGCTCGAATGGATGAATGAACCAGTGGATCATTTCTTAATCTATTTTCCGTCGTTATTCGTCTCCTCTTCATCTTCTTCCCCGGTGCAGCAATGACACAGGGGGAAACGTTCGCAAGCTTTCTCTGCAGCTGACTAGTTGAAAGAACGCAGGCAGACCTGTGTTCATTCCCTGCTGTAGGTTCTTCTTTACGTTTTTGTTCACCGAGGGCTTCCATCCTTTATTCCTTCACCCTTATCTTCCCTCATCCCCTTTTTGCAGTTCTTTTTCACGGAAATCTGTTAGCAGTGTTTCCCAGCTCCATGCTGTATCTTTTCAGTATGTCCCCAGCCTGCATTTGCTGGCACATGCTTGTCCTGCTTCCTTCTTTGGGCACTTTTGCTGGTTCCTTGTCATCTGTTATTCCTGTGTGCATCGAAGGGTTCTGTTTGGAACCACTAGATTGGGGTGAAATGGCCCTGCCTCTTATGTCTCCAGTCCTGTCTTTACTCTTACATGTTAGCAACACTGAGTTTTGTGTGGATCTGGTAACAGATTATGAAATTGCACACCTGCCCTCCTTTTCCTACGTCTGTTCCTTCTACCCAGTGTGCTCGTCCTTTCTTACTTGCCTGCTGAGCTTCTAATTATCCAGCAAGGCCCAGCTCAGATGGTTCTCATTTCCTGAGGCCTTCTTTCCCCCTTTGGGGACATGATTGGTTTTGCTTCACTAGTTTGTACGTGTTTTGGTCATTACATTTCTTTGCTTAATTGTAATCATTTGTTTACATATGTTTTCTTCTTCATTAGATTATTAATTCCTTGAAACTGCTATCTTGTTCACCTTTGTATCTTTATCACTTGACACAGGGCCTGGAACTTAATAGGGTCTCAACTAATAATTATCACTTGGGCTTAAATCTACACAAACTGAAAGAGTCAAGCCTGAATAAAGATTAGTCAGATTTAATAAGATGGAAAAAAACCCCTGCAGGGTTTGAGTTTTTGTTTATGTTGTGTGACTGTACTTAACCTAAATAAAATGCAAATTAAAACATAAGACATACCCCCCTTAAAAAGGCAAAATAAATATAAATATTGTATAGACTGTAATAAAAGACTGGTGATCAGGAAAGACGTGAGGAAGACCACTTTAGATCCTGGAGCTCTCCGAACGCTCGCCCCAGCTTAGCGGATGCTGTTGCCCAGATGAAGTGGACGGGGAGGAGGAGTTCGCAGTCTGGGAAGAACCACGATTCTCCAGGAGCAGAGGGAACCACAGACCCTGAGCTTCTCTGCATTCCTTACTTGTCAGCTGGAGGAAGATTATCTGCTCCTGGGATTCAACGGCTCTGTTTTAAAAAAAGAAATAACTACTCCTGTTGCTGATTTCACAATATTTCTTCCCTCCAGAGCTCAGCTCTGAAAACCATTTCATGCCCATTTCCAGGCATGCTGTCTCCGCTACACATGTCTCAGCTGTATAATTTAGTGAGTTGTTACAGTGAAAGGTGAAATACTGGGTGAGGATTGAGATACTCCATATGGCTCGGAGCTCCACAAATCCAGGCATGTGGGAGACGTTCGGCACAGAAACCCAACATGACTAACCCTTAGAAAACACTCTGAAATCGATAGTCTCTCCCCACCGCCTGGACGTCCCGGGCAGTGCATTCCTGTGGGACTTGCACGGGGCCATCTGGAATTTCTCAGACTTAACATCAGTCCTTCACTTTTGCAGAAAGGCAACAAAAACACCGCTGCCCCAGCTCTCCGCCTGAGATGTTGAGTCGTTCATTTTCACAAGTTTTTCTTTGTTCCTGTAGTTCTCTGAGAAATTAATTGCAAACAATCTGAGACATGGTTTTGCTCACTCCACATCAGAAAACACCAGGCGTGAAGACCTTTCCTTGTTACTAACTCTTTTTTTTTATGCCCTGGGAAGCTCAGGCCATTATTTCATCTTATTTCAATATGTGTTTTTCCTTAGACTCACCTTTCAATCGGATTTCATCTCTATTCAACACCCTCTGCTTTATTTTTCCCTAATCATGAAACAGATGGTGGGTACCTCTGTTGCCAGGTGCATTGGGTGTCTTTGGGCTCTGAGAGTGGCTGCATTGTCACCAACCTGGAGGTTCAGGCTCATTCCATAAACATTTCCCTCCCAGCTTGCATAAGAGCTGGCAAACATGGCTTGAAGGGCATTTGAAGGTGACATGCCGACTTTTCAAGGAGCCTTAGAATGTGTCCAAGTCTGAACACCGGTGTGGAGGTGCTCAAATTAATTCAACAAATTTCACTCAGGGCCCACTGTGTTTTAAATAAGACCTGGTCCTGGTTCTCAAGGAGCTGACAACCATGTTGGGGAGGCCAGTCCATGTACCGTACAGAACAGGGGTCTCCGAGAAGAGGATAGAGTGGATCTGCCTGGGTGGCCAAGAGAGAGCTCTCAAGCTGCTGACCATGTGGGGATAACATAGGGCGACACTAGGTTCCTTCTCACTGTCCCCTGGGTCCACCCCCCAGACACCAGTTTTCTCCCTACCAAAGCGTGGGAGCTTCTGCCAGTTTCCCACACAAAAGTTTCCTGGGAGGGACCTGCAGTGGAAACAATTACACGCTTTTCTGCTGATGATGCTCCTGTGTCTTTGTACCTTGCCGTTCACTCATATAATGGACAAAAATATTGCTGGTCAGTAGATAAAGTAAAGCAGTGTCAAGCATCCAGAGATAGCTAAAAATTTCCTTCAACCACTGTGCATCCACTCAACTTGGTCATCAGTAGTAACCTCTGGGGACCTGGACTTGGGCACTGAGTGACACTGACATCACAGGCTGTCACCTACTCTCACATACCTATGAGTTCTGTGTGTGTGTGTGTGTGTGAGAAATCCAGACTTCACTAAGTTCATGAGGCCCTGTGACACCATGCAGTAGACATTTTAGTGACATCTGTCCTTCTACCCATCCAGGTAAGCTTTGGGAGTTATTGATTGGAATAACTTGATGGGAATTATTGACTAGAATATGCAATCCAACCAACACATTAATGACCCTGTCTTCTCTGTTGAATTCCTGTTTAACTGAACTTTGGGCTATAATTTATATAACCTTATTCTTGATCATTGTTATACTCATAATTGTCAGTGTCATTTACAAAAGATTTATCATGCTTATTGTCTCATTTTAGGTCACCGGTCTCTTCGGAAGATCACGGTAAGAATCTGTCTTTTACTAATTCAGGGTTAAAGGTTAAGCTCTGGCCCTTGTACTTCACTGTAAGAGGGAAGAATTACTTTTCAAAATGTCTCTAAGATTTCTGCCTTTTATTTTTTAGTGTGAAATGTCCAGTACTTTTAAAAACTTAATCCATCCTAGCCCACTTTGATAGCTTGTAGTTCTTTGAATATGTCACAACCATTTTGGTTGACAAACATTTTGTGCCTTTGGGCTAGCCATATAACTTCTCTGAATTACAGATGTTTTTAAAACGGGGTTTTGTGGTAGATATTCCTAAACACCCCTTCCAGTTTGGATGTTGGGGTTTGCACAGGGGGCTACGAGTCTGAAATGAAACTAATTGGTAAGTGGCATGAATTGCTGTCCAGCTGAGGTGAGTCTTTAAGAAACGACCATTTTATTCAAGGGGTAGGATGTATGGTTTTATCACATCTCACTTTTGGAGTTGTTCATTTATTCTGTCAGCATGCAAAACCGTTAAGGGTCTGCAGTGAGTCGCTTATGTCAGGCAATTGTGTCACACCAGCATGGAGCTTTCGGGGTCTAGTGGGGGACATGGAATGACCTGTGATTGATCTTATAAAAGCAGGAAAAAACAGGACTTGAAGAGGACAGCTAGCCTTCTCCTTGTGCAGCCCCTAATTTAGCTAAGGGTGCCATTCTCCATTTGGCCAGCCACGTAAGAACTACAGAAGCTGTTTTCGGCTTCCCTCTTCATCCCCTCTTTTCTGCCTGGTCATTCTGCTTTTTGGAGTTCTCGTATCTCTTTTCTATCATCATTGCTTTGGTTTAGGCTCTCTCCCTGTCTTTCCTGGATTTTTAAAGTTGTTTATTACTTGGTATTTGTACCTCCAGATTTCTACCTGTTCCCTGTTTACCTAGGTACCACCGAACAGATTGTTCTGTAATAAAAAACCTTTGTCCATTACCTGTAGGATGAAATATCATCAGAAGACCAATAATTGCATCCAGCTTTCCAATGTCGTATTTTAACACGGACTCCAAAGTTCTAAATGATGGAATCTTTGTCTTCCTCTACTGCATCTTTGGGCATCCCTTCCCTTGCATCCGTGCTCTGTATCTAACCATGCAGAACCATGTCTGACCTCTGGACCTCACCGTGTTCATCACGTCTGCCTGCTTTTCTCCCTCCTGTTCCTTTGGGTAGGAAGGTGCTTGTCCTTTTTGCCGCATACACAACACACCTGCTGCCTGTGACCTGGTGAATCCTCTCCTCCAGGAGGGCTTCCTGACCCCCCTTCTCTGCACATCGAATACTCCCCTTCCTTCTAGAATTTAGCACATACATTTGATGCTTGATTTACCTGTGTCCCCTGTGAGACTGTGAGAGCAATATCATTCCTAACCAGTAGCAAACATTAAAAAGAGGTTTATTCAATGAATGTGTGAAGGAGAGAGTGGGGGAAGTTTGGGGCAGGCCTGTGCTTCTGTCAGATAAAACTTCTGCCAATACTGGAATGACGTTCTGTCATGTTCTGTGAAGAATCAGGGGGGAAATTACATCCAGGCCCAAGCAAGTCGGAATTAGGTAGCTAGCCGACCACCTAGTGATGACCTAGATTGTATGCTGTTCTGCGTATCGATGTTGAAATGACTAGATTTTTATTGTAAAGTTAAAGGACCTTGGGCTTCCAGGTTCAAATGATGAACTAGAAGTTAGTGTTTGGTTTGTATTTTGAACTAAAGTTCCCCTTAATGACCCTTGTTTGCTTTTGCCTTCCAATTAGTAAGAACTCATCCCCTAGTTCAGAGAGCGGGGGAGGGGAGACTTCTGAACTGCAGTTCTGTAGTCTGCTAGGAATTCTTAAGGCCAAGAGCTGTCACTGAGCATGCGCTACTGTCCTGGGAAGTTCGGAAAGGTCACTGCCACCAGAAAGACTTGCTTGGTATTAACAGTGCTACTTCAGAATGGATTATTTTAAGAACTGGTATATATGATTAAAAACCACTGTCCAAATTAAAAAGCATTTCTATTTTCCTGGCTTCAAAAAATTATTACATGTTCATGCCCTTCGGTTTGATTCTGCCACTTTCTTAAACTGTTCAAATATGTAATGTAACATTATAATACTAATTTATCTAATCTTAAGAAAATTTTTTAGTCTTTCAGCCCACGTATCCTTAAAAAATACTCGTATCCCTTTATCACCAATATTTTTACTAGTACTTAAAATGTGTTATTCAACTAATTTTATTGATCACATATGACCACATACATCAAAAATATATGATCACATATTTTTGTGATCATATTTTCTGTAGTTAGCACAAAACCTCTTGAATATCTTATCATCAAGCTTATATTTGTCCAGAATGACGGCACTGCAAAATACTTGTAAGAGTGTTGAGAGATGGCATTTCTGTTTTCTCAAATTTATGGGTGGGAGAATCGTGGCACACAGGGCAAAGGGTTGTGAGCTTAAAATATAAAGTCCAATTTCTCTGGACTTTCTTTTTTATTTGCTTTCCACCTATGATCATACTTCTCTTTCTCATAACTGGTCACTTGTGCTATTTCCAAAACAGACTTCACCCTTGAGAAAATCTAATTTTCCAGAATTCAATACCAGGCTGGCTTCTCAACTCCCACATATTACCTTTTCATAGAAAATATGCTTGAATATCGTGGCTTCGCCATTTACTCTCTCTGAGTTGGTCTCCTTGTCTGTATATCAGGACCATCCATATCCACTCTGCCCACACCATGGGGTTGTTGTGAGTTCAGATGGGAACTCACCTGGGAAATCACTTTCCAGCTGGTTAACAAGCAGCCCAAACATAGTGCCATTGCTGTCCCAGCATGGAAGAGTGTTTTCTAGTGATGCTTGCTTAGCATCGGTACTGCCTTTGAGAAGATGTGCTGGAGAGGGGTGGGGGAGGAGGTGCGGGGGAGGGGGTTGTACTGGTGGCAGAAAACGTTTTCCTTCAACGTTATTATTAAATATTAAATTTCCATTGGGAGACTTTTTCCATCTGGGTGAAGAGGAGTGAAAATGGTTAAGTTAGCTTGTATAAACTTCAAATAAAGGTTCGGTTTATGATTAGATACGCAATTGTGGAGTTGATGATACAGCCATAAATGAAATGGAAATGTTTCTATTTATATACTAGAAGCTCAGAGTCATTAAAAATAAAGGGTAAGATTTATCGAATGCTTATTATGTGCAGACACTGTGCTAAAGTGCTTCACCTACATTATTTTCTCATTTCATCTTTCCCAATAACGCTGAAGAGGAGGTATTACTCTCTAGCTAGGGACACAAGGTCAGCTTTCTGGAATCACTTGCTTACGATCACACAGCTAGAAAGTGGTAGAATTCATTTTCAAATCCAGCATAGTTCCAACACTCACTCATTTACCCACATGTCCCCAGAAAACCAAAGAAATGGCCAGCAGTAAATTGAGTTGATAGAATTATAGAGGAAAAAAAATCCTTTCTCTCTAACCAGAGTTTATTTACTACAGTGTCAGTCATTTCTTTTTAATGACAAAACAAAACAGAACAAACACAATCATTAGTCCCTCCTGCTGAGAAAGATGTGTCCCCATAGGAAAAAAAAAAAAACCTGCGTCACATTCTCTCCTAATTAGTTAACTGATTGAAACCTGCCATGCTCGGTCCCTGGGGCAGCGTTAAATTTTAATGTTACATCTGGAAGCGGAGCCTACTCCTTGATCGAGGATAGGCGTGGTGGAGATGGACTGCCCTGTCCTTTGAGTTTCCTGTGCGTGGCGTGCCTAGCACTTCATTGTTCTGATCACTCCTGAAGCCACTCCTGTGCCCGGCTGCTCCGCCTGCTCCCAGCTCTCAGATGCTGTTCTGTAGTCAGAGCCTCCTTATTTCCCGGGCTTCCCAGGATGCCTCTGTGCTGCTCCCGCCTGTCCCTTGTGCTGCCCAAGGGTCATTTCAGCTCCTGTCTGCTCACTTACAAGATTAAAGGCACTGGTGACTCACTGGAAAGGAAGCACCAACAACCCGATTCCTCCTGGGGTGTCTGAGGTGACATCTGTCTCGTGCCCTGTATCCTGGCCCTCTTGGCCACAGTGGCTCTCACGTTATGTGGCAGCTTTTTTTGTTGCTGTAGTAGCACAGAGGATGAGGAAGGGAGGAAGGGGGAGATGGAGATAAGGTTGGAGCAGCCACAGTCACCAGTGTAGGCGCCCGAGGATGAGTCCACGGTCAAGCAGGAGCCAGTTTACTTTTCGACAGGTCACACAGGGACATCCACGGTGGTGGGGCCCAGAGCTCCTTGAAGTGCCAGTAGCTGCCCCTTGGCTCAGACACCGTAGGGTCATTCTTCCCCTTTACTCTAAATATATATTAGATATAATTTTATTATAAAAAATATTCATAAAAATATAAAAATTTATCAGCTACACTTAAATGACCGATAGGAACTTCTGTGGATACAGGCTAACTGTATACATGTGTACAGTTTTGATTATTTTGAACTTTTATAAATTGAATTTTATTGCAGAATCTCCATCTGTGATTTGCTTCTTTTGTTCAGAATAACATTTCTGTGATTCATCCTTATGAACATTCTTTCTCCTAACTCTTCCTGGTGTCCTTACACCAGAATTTCTCCAGGGTTTGAACCTAGGATGGCATCATTTAGTGGCACATTATACAATCGTTTAACTGATCACATAAACATTTCTATGATACCTTCTGAAATTAATATTATTTCCAAGAATTGATTTTTGAGAAACTAAGAGTGGATTAATGGTTTGGATCCTCATATTTTAGCAAAATAATTTCAACTACTCCTTTAAGATGATGTGACATAATATGTTCTTATATGTACTAAAAAGTAAAAAAAAAAAAAAGGCATTGTTTACTAAAGATGAGTACCTAAGATAGGTGTCCTAAGGTAAGCCTCTGCTGAGGTTTAGAGAGCTTAAATAAATTCTGTAGTCCCACCAAGATGTTGCCTCCTTAACCAACTACTCT